ATTTTCATTTACTTTTTTTTCTTCACATTTTTGGTCGTGGAAGTCTATCCTCAAAATTCATGTTTTGGCATTCGTGATCCATGCCAGTCTTGCATCTGTTCTTGCTCGGAACATGAACCCTCAGAAGAATGTACTCCTACCAACCGCTGTTCATTTGCATGTAAAGGTACCCAACAATAATCGTCACATATTACATCAAATATCACTTAACAAGAATCATACGAATCAATATTTCCAAATTAAAACTGGTGAACATTTTTAATTCCGTCCTTTTATTTCCGTTCTTTTATACTAAAAATTATTTATACTACTGTATATACTATGTATTCATTTATTTGTTATGCGTTATTTATCAAATTAACTTTAACACATTGCATCAGAAATAAGGTTAAAGTGTATTGTTATATTAATGTTATAAATTACTAGGATATAAAATTGTTGTTCTAATAATTTGCTAGCAAATAGTATACAGTATAATAATAAAAAACTTGACAAAATCCAATGACAAAAAAAAGAGGAAGCCAGTGTGATGATTCCATAAATTAAATTTTTCATTAAAGACTTGAAAATAAATCGATACTATAAAAAAAAGTATAACAGACAAAATTAATTACTACCTAAAAATTAATTTAATAATTATAGCATGGACAAGGAAATCAAACTTCAAATACAAATATACTAAATGTATATAAATCACGAAACAGAAATTAATAATTGAATTAAGAAAGAATTGGTCGACATTTTATATTGTTGGTTACAGGAATATATTAAAAAAATTCAGTATTTTTATGCAAAAGATAGAAAAAAAAATCTAAAAGTAAAGAATAATTACAATACGAAGATGCTATAACTACAGAAGAAAAAAATATATCTTAATATCTGAAATCTCATTCTAATTAGAAATTACAAAAGGTTCATTCCATTCCAGTCTAACTGCTAGAGGTCATATCTGCTTTAGTAAAATCAAATTTTTGATCATATAAATATTAATCAATAAATTTAAATTTTTTTTAATTATCTATAAACTGGTGCAAAA